AAAGAATTTTAAATTGGCAGCCATTTATGAAAAAGGTCTATAACAAGTCTAAAATTGAGAATATGAGTGAATGATTCTTTGTGAGCATTTGTGAGCATGTGAGCAGTGCTTTTAGTTTTGTGAGCACAAGCAGTGATCAAATTTCTCATGCTAGAAGCGAATAATTTAAGAAAATGCAGATGGCGAGCAACGAGAAATAGTAATATTTCCACTAGCCGGAATCTCTCTTTTGTTAAAAAGTTAGGTTGTTTTGCACCAGGTGATCTGGCTGACACCTCCAAAACAGGACAATAGGTGCACATCGTGGTTCAACCAATCCCAGCAGCTTATAGCCAATTATGCCTTGCTTGATGCCAAATTACAGTATGTCATGAAGCTTCACATGAGTCAGGGAGTTTCAGTGGGTGGATGCCCAAGAAGATCTAATGCTTTCTAACCCGACGTTGTGAGCAACCACGAGAAGAAGCTAAAAGTTACCAGACTTTGAAGTGTTGTGACATGGAAGGTTTCTTTCGGTTATAAAATTCTTAGGTAATGTAAACAATGTGGCATTTTAGTCTAACAAGCATATTGAGTTTCGGTTTTCAATGATCAATAAACTGGCTTCTCATTGATTGACTCGAAAAATATTCAATGCAATGAAACTTCATTTGGAGGCTTCTAGGATCTAACCAATTGAAACCGTACAGCTCTGACAAGCTCGAAGGGTCAAATACATAGTAATAGTAATAGCCTTTATAAATATCTCAAGATTACTTTCTACCTTTGCAGGTGACTTTCGCGAAGGATTCTTATGTGCATCAGCCTCAATATAAAAACGTCAGCAAAACATGTGCATGTTTCTCCAATGCTTCCTAGTTTCGCCATACAGGAATCAAGTACATTTTAATGAGAATCTGAGCATGCGAGCACTTGCAAAAATTTGCAAGAACAAGCAAGCAAGTTTGAGCAAGTGAGCACTTATCTAATTAATTTCTTACGAGCAATTCGAGCAAAGGCCAAATTTTGCGAGCACTTTTAAATTGAATGGGACTATTCGATACCCCTATTATGAAACCTGCAAAGGACTACTGGTAATATACATGTAGGTGGCATATTGTTATATAAACATGTCATTATATGATCACGTTGCTCCAATTAATGCACTGATTCCTTGCAGAGAGAAACAAACAAAAACAACGATGTTCATTTCTTGTTTGTTGATCATTCAGTCATCATCAGATCATCCTAACCCTTACCCTGAAGAAAGGGTACCAGTGATAACATGGCATTTGGATTGGACAAAAAAAGTTCTGAAGATTGAAGAGGCAGAGGTAAGTTTTCAGACCAAAAACTAATTTGTGTGGAGCCACAAAATTAAGACTGGTCCTTACAAGAAAGGCCAAGGGTGATTTTCTCCCAGTACGGTCCTAGGCTGGGTTGCTCAAAGCTCAGTTAATCTTATATGCTAGGAGGGTGGCAAAGGGTTTTTGCGTGATGCATGATGGCCTCAAAATTAGCAGGGTGATGCGTGATTAAGGCAAATGTAATGGATGTTAGTTGCGGTTGGTACAGTAGTTGTGGTTGTAGTTGTTGTTGTCATTAGTGTTATTAATATTGAAGTTTAGCTACTGCTGTCATGTTCCTACTCAATCTAAAAACTTACATCCTCTAATTTTGCAGTTTTCTTGTCATGAATGTCAGTTGCTGTTGAATCTGTCAAGATTGCTCAACTTCTTTTTGATGTTAGATAAATCAACAGACAACACTAAGGTATTGTGCTGAAAAATCCAGTAGTATGTTCATTAAACATTTCAGTCATTCAATTAAAATCCTTTGCAACAAAAAAAATACAGTTGAACCACTCCACAATGGCCACCATGGGGATGCAGGAGAATGGAGGTTGTAAGGGTCTAATATGACACTTGTTTTTTCAGGGCTGCAACATTTTTTCAACAAAAAAATGCTTAATGTAACATCTAAATATGTGGCAAAATCAAAGGAAAATCAATAAAACAGAAAGAATACAGAAACAGACCAACGATGTGTGGTGTGGATCAAGTTTTGACCTATTATGTACAAAAAAAATTGTGTTTTGTATACAGCATTCAACAGTCATTGATTAAGTGACCATTTTCAATAGGTAATATTGACAAATGTTTGAATAAAAAATAAATAAATAGATATAAATTGTGGCATGCTTTAGTAGCCTTTGCGTTTGTGGAGAAGTGGCCATTGTAGAGATTTTAAAATAAGAATGATTTGACTACATGTAATACACTTAATATAGACCATCCACCGGGACTAAGAAAGGTGGCCTTTGTAGAGAGGTAGCTGTTAGTGTTGTAGAGAGGTGGCCATTAGCGGAGGTTCAACTCTAGAACAAACTACAGAAACAATGAACATAGTCTTTAAAACAATAGAGGTGTTTGAACAGCACACAATGAAATAACTTGTATGTCTCGAAGAAGTGTCAAAGGCTTAAAAAAGAAGTGCGATGCGGTTCTCTGGAACAGTAGATTTTCCTTCTGGGCTAGTAATTTTTAATTCTCACTTGCCTGTTGCCAAGGGATCAGGCAACTTGTCTACCAACTAAATCGTTAAAAGAGCAAACTCAGGGTTTTCATTAATGTTTTCAGCAGGAGGCAACTGGTTTTCACAGGTGGGCAAAAATATTAGAACTGAACTTCATTGTAAGAAGAACTTTCCTCTAGGACTAGATCGATGTTCAAACCAGCTGGGCAAAATTGTCCTCACAGCTGGTCAATTGCATGCGGCCCTTACTGAAACCCCTGCAAACTAAGAGTTGCTCAGGGCATGCAAAATTTAAGGTTACACAATACCTTGAGAGTGCCACTTTTGTTGCATTTTTCTTTTTAAGCAAAACAGAAAGGTCGCTATCAAATCTAACATTTCCGAAAAATGAAAGTAAAATCTAAAAACACACTGAGTTAGTTAGAAAAAAAGGTTTTTTTAATAAAAGTTAATGAAACAGTTAGGTGTCATAGTCCTCATACAGTAGTGCATCAATTTTTGCGTAAAACGACTGCCTCCGGTAGCTCTTATTACATCAGTCTCATTAGCATTTTCTTGTTTATATGCAGTCACAGTTGTGTTCTCAAATTAAATCGCTACTCCATGCCACCTATCACTCCTCATTGAGGTCATGATACATGCTAAAAAAGGAAGAGAAAAGTCCTTGGGCAGCAAAAAAATAAAAGCCAGGTCCTAAGAAGAAGACAAAAGCAGAATTTTTCGAGGACAAGAAGAAAACTTTGACCGACAGCAGCAAGGAATTGTGCATACTCATTGGCTGACAGCATATGCTGTTGACATAAATCCAAGTAAAGGCATGACATGTTTACAACTTTTCAAATGGTGATAACTCACAATAGTTTTTTGTGAGAATATTATCTCTTTAAATGAATTAATAAGGTATGTAGAATCGGCAGATTTTCATGAAATTTGGCCAGGACATTCCCTAAGTATCGAGGAACAAAAGGGTGTCAGGCATTTTTTATATCATGGATATTTATCTTGTGACGGCTGCAAACACAAGATGGTTGGCAAATTATTCTATGCTATAACGTTACTGGTCTATAAAAAGATAACCAATAAGAATACTAGAAAACCCCGACACCCTTTGAGAGATTGATGCTTGTTTATTAACACTGTGGAGTACTTAAACATCCCTTCTTGCATTTGATACCTGATTAATTCGGTGGAATGACAGTCGGTCGTTTTCCATTTCTCGGCTTCTTTCTTCTCAACAAAGGCACGAGCAAAACAATGGATATTTTTTTCCAAATTCTACAGTTCATAACCTTTCTATCGATATTTAGTGTGACTCTACTAGCATTCTATCACAAATGCCATTCTCTGATTGGCTATGCTACTCACTATCTATTCTGTGATGAATAGTGAATAGCGTAACAGTGTGCCCTTGTTAACAAAATGAAGGCCGCTTCTTCGCTTTTTCGAAGTGTCTCTGAAGAGGCTTTAGATTAAGTTTTGAACGATTAGTAGATTTCTATACTAAAACAATAATTATTAGATTATTTGCTCTTGATTTCTATCGTGTGATAGTTGACTCGGGCCACACCCTTGTCTACTATCATGCGATAGAAATCTCAAGCTCATAATCTATTGTTTATAATTATAATAGTTTGTGGTAGTTTCCCTAAAAACAACGAAGGTATGATTTTTTTCTGAAGGGCACTAATGAAGGTACTTTGTAACCTTAAGGGCTACTTGTCCTGAGGGCAAGCTGGAATTCAAGTTTTTTCTAGTCCTGGGTGTGTGGCCTCTATCACTACACCCTTAGTCCCTCCCCCCAGTGCCGAAGAAACCGGCAAGCAGATGATGTTTAACTAATCCTAGCTCACTGATTAATCTACCTCTTGCTGCTTGTTTCAATGTCCCTTTCTTTTCCTTTGTTTTCTTAGCTTTATTCTCTAGCTTCTCACTTCTGTCAAATAAATGGATACTCATCACAGTCAGGGGAAGATGATTTCAGGTTACTTCAGCAAGCTGTGTCTATGACTCATTCACTTCACGTGCTAACAAAGTAAGTGTTCCTGCAGAATCTTTCACTGTACTGCTTGCAAAATTACTGCTTAGAATAATAGGACTGGCAGTTGATTCAAAACAAGTAGTTGTGCCAGTTGCTTGATCACCTGTTGCCAGTTGTACACTTATACTAAATCTAGTCACTTCTGACAACTATTTGATGTTATCATGAAGTTGAGAAAGATAAGTTCAAAGAACTCAAGTCTACAGGTATATCGTCAACATCACATTCACATTTGTTTTGCATGAACTTTTACCTAATTAAGGGCCCAGGTTTGTTTAGTTTTCACATATGTAATATTTTGTACTGCTATTTAGCTGTAGTTTAGTTGAATCTAATGTGTGCTCGTATTGGTTGATTTATGGTCGCGTGACAGTGGTTAAATTTACATGTTGCCCCAGCAGGCAGCAATGGGCCATTTTTGACATAGTATTATAATTCTAACTTTGCCTCAAGGCTTGGGGAGCAAAACAAGGGAAATTGATTATTCATCCCTCAACCTTGATGCAATTTCTGTTGTATTACTTCCCAGGCCTTGGAGCCAAGATAGAATATTTTAATATACAGTTGACTCCTGATAACTTGAACCTTCAAGGGAAATTGAGAAAGGTTCGAGTTATCAGGAGTTCGAGTTATCTGGAGTTCAGAGCACAAATGACTGGAAAAAGGGAAAATGGTCTTTATTGTTTTTCTATTTAGGCAGTGTACATTTTAATCAAATGTAATTACAGAATAGAGAAGTCGAGTGAAAATAAAACAATACATCTCTAAATTATGGTATAAATCAGAACATAGTGTAATGTGAAAAATACTGTAACAAAGGAAAGCAGCAGGGAGAAGTCCAGGAACTGTGAACTGTACA